GGGGATACAATGGCTCCAAAATCAAAAATCTGATTTATTGCTTAAAGAGGGGGTGTGAGGGTGTACACTGCTGACGCCCGAATGACAGACAGCACATGTCAGCTCCACCACCAGTGCAGGCCCTGGGCATGTTCCAGCAGGTTCCTGTGACAAGGCAGCAAGGTTCGCATCCTCTTTGCCACCCTGGTTCTCCGGGGGACCTCAACAAAAATCCTTGGGAAGAAGGGTAAAAATCACAAAGGTGGTCAGAGGCTTCTCTAGCCCTCACAGCAAAAAAGCACTATTAGTGTTGTCTTTGGTGACATGTGTTTCAAGATAAACTTGTGTTTCTCTGCTGCTATGTGCATAGGCTGGAGTACAGAAGGGAAGTTCTACACCTGAACCTTTAACATACATCGAACACTTATAAGAGAAGTACATCAGCACTATACTCTGCATTCTGGGATCCTGACTCTTCTGCAACAGGGCAGCCCTGACAGGAGACACACACACACACACACACACACACACACACACACACACACACACACACACACAGTAAACCTAGAGTCCTACAGGGCACCTGGAGTGGCACAGGACCCTGCTCAGTGAGGCTGCATAGAGCTCAGTGGGTGCAAACACATGAATTGTAGCTGCAGGCGGAGGAATATCAGGTGCATCTCTACGCCCTGAGGGCTCAACTCCTACACTTAAATCCCTCCCACTGGAACAGCCGGCTCCAGTTTCACCGAGCCAGCGAGCCAGCGTGAGAACAGATCCTGCTCCTCAGCCCTCAGCACCTTGCACAGAAGGACTCCTCATCCCAGCACTACCCACCTCTGGTAAGTGTTTACTATTTCTTCAAGTTTTCTTTCAAAACTACTCTACAATGTGTCTTGCAGTATCTATCTAGGTAAATTGCTTGCTGTCGTCTGCTCTTTCCTGTTTTATTCCCTAAGGATTACTCAGAACCTGGCAGGTGCACCTTGGGGATGCAGACCACAACTACAAAACTCCAAATGGGGCTGATACTTTATTCCAAGAATATGAGCAAGCTTATTTAGAAATCAAGCCCTCTTTTCTGCTATAAAATTTATTTTAAAAATAAACCAAAACATGGATTTATACTAGAACTTAATTGTTCCCTACTTTTCAAAGAAATTACGATAAGTTTCAACATAAAAGAGGCAAAAATCATGTATGTATATAGAAACATAACTATACAACTGCTGTTTTTCATTTTCAGTTTAATACCTAAAACTTTTCAAGTTTAAAATAAGTGCAGCTTTGACAAAAACTTTCAAAAACAAGAAGCCAACAACGTTTAAGTTTCTGTTTGGTTGTTAAGGTTACACACACGGGGAGGCGGGTATTTTTCCTATATGAAATTTCCCATAAATCTGTATGAAAATTATTACTGATCAAATAATCAGCTAAATCCAACCAAATCAGATTTCATTTAAGCAGAACCACCTACTAGTGTTTTCTGAGCATTAGCAAAGTCTCTCTGGTATTTTAGACTGGTGTGTTAAGGAAACGTGGGGCAAGGTGATCTCTGGTGCAATGCTGGCCTGGGAGCTGTGTGTGTACTACGTGCCAACACAACAGAACCCATCTGTTTTCTGGATCTTTTCTTCCATACTCTAGAAAATTGCTTTCCTCTAAAGTTATGGCCGTCCTAAGTTCACCTTCATCTTAAAGAACAGAAAGTTTGGGAGGGAGTGGCGGCCAGTCACTGCAAAAGCTCAGCTGAAGTAAAACTCACAAATCTTGTTCTTGCGACACCCCAGTGGGTAGACGACAGTGGCGTGCCCTTGAGTGGTGCAATAATGCCACATCACAGTGCTGTAATTATAGCATGCCCTTCACGACGTTCCACCTGTGAGGCTCTGTGCCAGACAGCTGGACACCACCAGGAGGAATATTACAGCACTGTCTTGATTTGCAGGTCAATTCACAGGACAAACATAGCTACCCAGCCTGTCGCATCGCTGTCCTATAAAGCAAAGCTGTAATTACCTTCATTGTGTCCTACCAGAGTTCTTTTAAACTACTCTTTCTCTTGTCTGTTTTCTAAGTGCAGACCCCTTAGAAACTTTTAAAACCAGCCAGCCACTCACTGTTGCCTTGATACCAGCAGCTACATTACATGTCCACACTTAGGGATCAGCTAAAGTGCTTTAAAGACAAACAGAACTCTGTGGCCAACCGAAACCACACAGTGCTCCCTGTGTGGGCAGGTATCCCGGATGGCACACTGTGGGCAGAAGGAAGGTGCTCTCAGCCCAGGGCCCTTTCCTAAGGCAAAGTCAAGCAGGTGAATATAAGAGCTGTTCAAGTCTCAACTCACACAGCTGATATATGTCAGCAGAAAAATTAGGACAGATCTTATAGATCTTAAGCTGGACACTGTATATAATTTTAGGTCACTGTACTATTGTAGATAGTCTCTACTGCATCCCAAGATGATTCAGAGAAGAAAGCCTCAAGTCAAGGTGGGTCTGGGGAGGCATGTTTGAGAACAGGGATTTCCCCAAGAAGACAGAGAATACCTGGAAGCTCTCTACCAGCAGCCCGACCCAGGCTGGATGTCTGTGGGAAGACACCCTCATGAACCCCCTGACCATCATATGGGAAGTGAAAGGGAGGAGGGTAAGATGCCAGGTAAAACTCCTCTGGGGTTGTGTCAGCATCAAACATGCTAACACTACAGTTCTCAGACAGGCATAGCTCCACATATAGCCTTCCAGAGATGTATTCCCAAAGTAGTAACAGGCACACCCCAAAAAAGAGATAGTCATATATATATATATATATATACCCTTCTTATTGCCTTTAGGAAGAACTTCACCTTTGAATACAAATCCAAACTTACTGTAAACAGTCAAAGTTCCAGGCTTTACTGTTTAGGCAACAACATGCACTTTTGGGAATATTTAACACTAGCAGCTGCCAGAAAAAGTCCAGCAGGTATAAACTGACCAATCAGGACTTATTATAAGCCTCCATGCCCACAGACATATGTGCCTGGCTGCAGTCATGGCTGTGGGTTAGTTTCTTCATACTCATAAACCTCACTTGGGTAGGACAGAGAACTCACAGGCTGACATCATCATTCGAAAGCTTACAAAAGCATCAATTTTATCCCACTTACTTCTCTAACACAGTAGTTTTATAGATGAGTTACACCCGCCTTACACCTGCCTCCAAGCAGTGAGTGCTCTGCTTTAATTAGCAATTGTGAAATCCTGAGGGGTCAGTTTATCCAAAGTTACTGAAACTACTACAGCTAAGCCTCCATTTTTATACTCATTCCCTTCCAGTTTTAATACCTCAGTAAACAGTCTCACTCTAGAACCCTTGCACAAGAGCCACTGGGGATTATCCCATCCAGCCTGCTCACTGTCCTGAGGATGGGTAGGCCAAAATTAAAAAGGCAAAAAGTTCAAACCAAAACTTCAAATAGCATTTTACTTTAATATATTACATTTTAATATTTAATACATAACATACATAACTTTTGGGGGGTTGATAACTTCATACATATATAATAGCAATTATTTTCTAAGTTACTCTTTAGGATAACATATGGTGATTTGTAAACCATTTGCCTCCTATATATATAAGGCAAAAGAAAACCTTACCATGACAGTGTGCTTATTTAACCACTGTGGGTATTAAATATTTAACCAAGTGGTGTGCTTACTTCTTCTACCCCAAACCATCAGTAACATTCACTAAAGTTGCTTCTTAAGGCCCATCATTATTTCCTTACATCTAAAAAGGCCTTTCTAGCTTGTCCAGTACACACAGTGCAGTGTCCATGTCCATACTCAGCAACTGGGAAGTAGCTCACACTCGATAAATGTTTGCAACTGTCATCATTTTGATCATGATGCTCCCAGTTAGTGATGAAATCATCTCTCTCAGATCTGTGCCATGACATATCCTATACAGCCATGGGAACCTGTCTTGCAGAGGTTCTCACGCCTTCAGAATCAAGAGTGTAATGAGCATGCCAGCACAGGCCCCACTGACTTATCGAGCTGCCCTCATCAGCTAGTCAGACAAGGCTTCTCAGGTTCCCTGACAGAGGCAGAGAAAATGCACTCCAGGTACAAGCTGGGCCCACAGAGAATTTCTTTACATTTTCCTTTTAATAGGGGAGAAGAGAAAGTCACAAGGCTATTACTGTTACTATGATCAGCTTTGACAGGGTGCTTTGTAGCTTCTGCAGCAAAATTGCATTCCAGGCAGGGTCCCCTTTGACAGCTTAGTCTCCCATACCCCTCAGCCCCCCACAAAAAGCCTAGGACCCTAGTTTCCTCCCAGTCATGGGGCACCTGACATTCTTATCTAAAAATCTGCGCTTCACTCTCACTGCTATTGCTGACTCTCACAGTGGACTATTTTCAGTGTCAGCTGAACCACTGTTCTCTCAAACAACTACTTAACAAAACAGCCCTAAACTACAGTAATAGGATAGCTAGTGAAGAGCACGTTAGCTCTTTGTAAGCTTGTTCCTGTTGTTTTTTTTTTTTTTTTTTTTTTTTTTTTTTTTTTTTTTTTTTTGGTTTTTCGAGACAGGGTTTCTCTGTGTAGCTTTGCGCCTTTCCTGGAACTCACTTGGTAGCCCAGGCTGGCCTCGAACTCACAGAGATCCGCCTGGCTCTGCCTCCCGAGTGCTGGGATTAAAGGCGTGCGCCACCACCGCCCGGCGTTCCTGTTGTTTTGAGGAAAAATAAATCTTGCTAAGCAGCACAGACAGGTCTTGAACTTGAGACCCTATGCCTTAACCTCCCCTACTTGATAGAACTTCAGGTGTGCACCACAGTGTGGGTAAAGTTCTTTGTGTTTAATATGTATGTATGTATAATTTATTTTTATATAATAAATATTATAATATATTTTGTATAAAATTAATATATAGTAAAATATATTATATATATTTACAGACACACACACACACACAAATTAGAAGAAAAAACAAGTAAAACCAGATAGTGTCCTCAGAATATAAAGTATACAAGAAGAAATAAAGAACCCACTCTTGTAGCTGGCCACTCCACCCCACTGCCCACTATACACATGTATACTGAGGACAGGGGAGACAGACTTAGAGTGAGGACTTAGGCATAAGACTTTAGTGGTTGGTTCTGTTTCTGAGGGTCTGGCTTACAGACAAGTATCTGGCTAGGTCTAGAGGGCATAGCTTTACACCTTTCTCACAAACTTAATTTTAAAGCTAAGAACAATTTGATTAAATAATTTCCACTGAGTGTTATTTTTAAGTATTTAAAATACTTAATACAAGATCTTTCCCTTTTCACATACCCTATACAAATCAAGGTGCCTGGCCTGAATACTTCACCTTATACCCAAGCTTCATCTAGGGTCACCCCAGATGTCCAGGCAGGCAGCTTCGCTAAGTGTTCAGCTTTGGGTTAGGAAGCACTATAAGATCTGGATACAAGAGACACCTGAAGCAAAATGGTTTCCTCCCTCTACCTGGATACCACTGCTCTGTGCTCTTGAGAAGGTATTTATCCAAGGAAGGGAAGGGCAAATCTGTAAGTTTATTCTCAAACACTGATGAATGGCAGGACATAAAGTCACTCAGGGACTTGCAAATCATCCTAACAGCACTGCAAACTGAGACGACCGAAATAAAGCATCCACATTTTTTGAGCCAACATAAATGCTACTTACTAGAGCTAAGGATGTAGTACAGTGGGTACAACTGCCCAGCATATATGAAGCTATGGGCCCAAGCATCACCACCTCCCCTAAAAAAAGTATAATACTTGTGATAAAGCTGGCTTTTCATTTGTGACTTTAGAAGCAGCAGAATGAAGTGCTATGTTCTTAAATATTCCTCATTTTTAAATATTCACACGTAAGGTATAGTAGCAGAATAGGTAAATAGGGCCAAGCTGCCTTGTAGCACTTAACTCAACAATGCCATAGCACAGTGACTAAATGCCTACTCCCAAAGAGGATTCAGAAGGGAGGCTATGGTACAGAATCCTATCAGAAACCCCATAAAAATGACCAAGGAAAAGTCCAGATTGCACAATAAAGGTCCCCAAAACTCAAAGAATCACCTTTAACACCGTGCTCTCTTGGTCCCCAGGCAGTCCTTGCAGGTCAGGCCTGAGACAATATCACAGGAAGCTGGCTGCCTGCAGAATAGACTAGTAGTGACACAGGTGTCACTAGCTCTCTAAAGGCAGGAGGCCTCTCGTTTGTTTTTAGTGTGACAGTGCAGAGAATGGCCCACTAACTGCGCCTGACACCAGTCTCTGTCTGCCTTCACAGCTTAGGTGCCCGATGGAAGGAATTTTCCTTGTTAGGCCCTCTGCACGTGGAGCTGGCTGCAAATAAAGTACTCAGACCAGGAAAGAAGACCAGTACTCCCTCCTTCAAAGCCACCATATCCTGGTCAAAGAGGAGTCAGCAGTGACCACACACTGAGCAGACCAGAGTCCAAATACAAAAGACAATGAGTCTCCTAAAGGAACGGAAACCAAAAAAGCCACACTATATTCCACGGCCCCCAGGAAAACCCTTCAAGTACAAATGCTTCCAGTGTCCTTTTACATGCAATGAGAAGTCGCATCTTTTCAATCACATGAAGTATGGTCTCTGTAAAAACTCTATTACTTTAGTGTCAGAGCAAGATCGCATTCCCAAGTGCCCCAAATCTAGTTCACTGGACCCTAAGCAGACCCACCAGCCAGAGCCCACCTCAAAGCCAGCCACTTCCAAATCTCTCCCAAATGGACTCTCCAGCTTTGATCCAAAGTCTCAACAGGGATCTGCAAAGGAAGATGCCAAAGAGAACCTAGAAATGCAGGCCCGGGGGAGCCACAAGGGTCCCCAGAAACCAGCCCTACAGAAAGAAATGACACCAGAAGCCATTCTCAGTACCCAGCCTTGCCTAGACAGTGGGGTTAGGTCTTCAGCCTTTGTTCCAGTTGGGGAGCACAGACTTAGGGGGCCAGAAGACACAGAGGCTCCTGAAATGCTGGCATTAACCAACTCCACCACCAAAGCCACCTCTTTCCATGGCAAGTCTGCATTCCATACTCCTAGTTACCCCTGGAAAGCTGGTTCCCCATTTCTGCCACCTGAGTTTCCACATAAAATCCCATCTACAAAGGGGTTTGGTGCTATCTCTCCCTATATGCACCCTGCAATCCCAGAGTACCCCCATCCCTTCTACACAGAGCATGGGCTGACTGCCATCTATTCCCCCTACCTCCTGACTGGGAACACGCCTGAGTGTGACACCACTTTGCTGTCTGTCTATGGGTCCCAAGACCAAAGACACTTCCTGTCCCATCCTGGACCAATGTCTAAACACTTGAACACAACTCCATCAACATATGACCACTACAGATTTTTCCAGCAATATCACTCAAATCTGCCAATTCCTTATGGATTTTACAGACCAGAATCGGCATTTCCCTCCTACAGTCTCAGGCTCCCACCTGTTACTGGTATCACACGAGATCAAAGCTCTCGCCTACTTGAAGAAGCAGCCCTGGCTTACCCAGCCTCAAGTCCCTCTGAGTTAAATCTTTCAAACTCCCACAGAAAACACACAGAGTTTGAGAAGGAAAGTCCAGTTCCTGAGGCAAAAGATCCTTCTAAAGATGGGCAAAGGGATGCAGAAGAGGCGAAAATGAGCCCCCGAGCAGGGAGCGCTGCCACAGGCTCCCCAGGGAGGCCAAGCCCCACCAATTTCACCCAAACAAGCCAAACATTCGAAGGCCTGTGTGACCTCTCAAACAAAGCAGCCTCCTCAGGAACCCTGGAGCGACTCCAGCAGCCTGAGCAGAGCCCCACTGCCTTCAAAGCTGTTCAGAGGGGCTCAGAAAGTCCTCATTCTCAGCCTCCTGCAAACAGAACAGAGTCTCCAAAAAGGTAAGAAAATTTCTTTTTCAAAATTTTCAATGTAATTCTGTTCAACACCAAGTTCACACTTGCTCAAAATACTTTTACATGATAATTTTCCTAAGATTTCTCTTGATTTCTTCTAGCCTCCAGGCCATGAACAATGACCCTCCAGCCCAGATAGGGACCAGTACCTCTCTCATCACAGAGGCTCCACCCTCCAGCCCAGAGGACCACTCCAGGATAGGCCCCCTCAATCTCTCCAAAAAGTTGGAGACAAGCCCTGCAGCCACTTATGGACCCATGTATGTAGACAATGCCCAGGCAGACACCCTGGGCTTCTCAGGGCTGCAAGACCTGCCACTTAATCTCTCTGTAAAGGATCCCTGTAATGCCTGGGCTCCTAGGCCTGTCTTCCCCGGCCCACCACAAGGTGCAGAATCTGCAGCTGCTCTAAAGACTGAGACAAAAGGTTCTGAAGATAAGACAAGCCATGTGGAGACACAGCAAGACAAGGCCCACAGCAGGACGACCCCAGATGGACACACAGTAGACAGCAGTGATGAACAGAAGCAAACAGCGGCTGTAGCCCTCTGTCAGCTGGCAGCCTACAGCCCAGGGAACGTCCGAGTGGGTGATGAGGAGAGCACAGTCCAGGAATCCACCTGTCAAGATGTGCCCACCCTCAGTGCTACAGAGAACCAGGGGGCTCAGTGTGACCTCAAACCCAAAGGACAAAAGAGGACAAGTCAAAGGGATGCAGGAAAATCCCAGCAAGGAACTAAAAAGCAAAAGCTGAATGACACTGTACCAAGAGTGCTCACTCTACGCAAAAGAACCCGGGTGTCCTGAGGCTCACACGCTCCACTGCTGTGGCTAAAAAGACGCCTTTCACACTATGTTCTAAGCAGCAGCTTCACTTTTCTGCTTTTTGGAGGAGGTACAGTCTTGCCATGTTGTTCAAGCTGGCATCCAACTTGTGATCTTACTGCCTCAGCCTAAGTGCTGGGACAACCAGTGCACCCACAGCTTACTTTCACTTTTTATCAAGTCAATTTTTATAAATACAGTTTCTCTTTTCTCCTCAAAAAAGACAAAAGGCTGTAATCTTGTTCAGTTTTTTGTAAACATTAAGAATAAATATTAAAAGGTGTTTCTACTTCTGGTTGTAAAAACATCTCAGTGGCTTATGCTCTCTAAGACTGATGAATTAAACTAGGCTTTCCTGTCTGTGACACACCAGGAAAATATACAGAACTGAAAACTGGCTCAGCAGTGTGAGTCAGTGTGAGCGGTAGGAAAAATGACCTTTTATATGTACTATTTTTCAGGACTAGTAAACTTTTACTGTTTTCCTATGAAATATAGTTATGTGTTTTGATGCCAGAAACATCTTCATTTGAGCATCAAGTGTTATATGTAAAAAATGTTGTGATTAGTTTTTACTGAACTGCCCACAAGCATTGAGAGGCTGATTTTACAAATAATTTATTTCCATCAGGGAAATGCATTGCTGGTAAATCAATCAGTATGATCAATTTATTCTATTTGTTTATGATGTCACAGCAAACTTTCTCACTTAGCCTCACGTTCAACTCCCTAAAATGATGTACATATTGTTAATTTTCCAATAAACTCATGTGTGAACTTTAAGAACACATAAAGCAAAGACCAACATCAGGTCTGTGGTATTCTTTAGAGTATTCTGCCATAACATTCGGCAAGAAAGAGTTATAATGAAACTAAGAAAGTACTTCTGAGGTTGGTGAATAAATTAGTAGCTAGAGTCCAGGCATGTACAAATCTTCACCCCTGGGTCTTTTCAAAGACCATCTAGGAGTCCTGAATCTCAGAGTACCTAGAGGGTAAGTCTCAGGAGCCCTGGCCCCTAAATACTATGTGGGAAGGCTTCCACCTTTCCTGGTCCCCAAAAGCCCTTCTACTCTGGACAGAGACGACCTTATCCTACATGCTAGAACCAAGCTACAGGCACTGAGCACAGGAATTCATGGTTCCTTATTGAGAAATCCTTTTGCTCATCCAGCAATTCCCAGCTCCTAGCCAGTCCCAATAGAGGATGTCTAGCGAAAGCTGACCAGTGTTCTACCTTCAGGTGATGTTAGGAATAGAGAAACACTTTGCAACTGGTTAAAGTCATATAAAATTTCAAATACCAACATTAAGCGGGATGCAGAGTTTTTCACAACCGTTATGAGATGCATGAGGTCAGTGCTGCAAGCCATCTCTAAAGGTACAGCAGGTTTCCCACTCACGGAAGCAGGAAAGCTTTCTGCTTCCACCTGGTGAGGCAGCAGGAGCCCTTCCCATCCAAGGACCTAGATGAGGCCTTTGGGTCTATCAAACCACCACATACCACTAACCCAAATGTACTCTCTTATGATATAAAACCAACAAATACAATCATCTTATTTTCCAGTCTGGCTCTTTTTTTATGTTTGGCAAAGAACGAAACATGACCCCTCCTGCTCCCCATCAAGTAAAGGCCTGCAGGAAAGAGGAATGATCCATCAAGCACTGTTTGCTCCATCCTCATGACCCAAAGCCTGGCACTAACAAAGTCCTCCTGGCAGGCTTAACCCATATAACTCGGCCCGCCATTCAGGCCCAGAACTCTGAAGTACTATGATAGCTTACCCACTGTCCATATCACCTTAAATGGCAAATAAGAACCTGGCCAGCTGCCACCCATGCCTGGGTGAAGCATGAGAAGCTACTCTACCAGACATGAGGTACTCAGCCTGCAGAAAACTGGTCTGTACATGGTACCACCAGCCTCAGCTGAGAGACCCACAATGGAAAAAGACCACCCTCCAGGAACAGTTTGCTCCAAAGGTCACCTTCAACAGCATATCCATGGCAACTAGAGTAGATACTCTATCTGCCTATAAAACAAAAGGAATCCCTACAGCTACATAATAAAACACTAGGATCTTACTTGTTTCCCAATTACTACTTCTCTACTTTCACATATGATTGACTTAAGAGTAAAACTCCTCCCAAAAAACAAAACAAAACAAAATGCTTTCAAAAAGTTAAACAGAACCACATGACCTAGCAATACTACTTCCAGATACATCATATACACCTTAAAGCAAGTCTCAAAGAGACATGCTCATCTCCTGTCCACAGCAGCCAGGAGGTGGGATGATGGGGAGAGCAAGCATAGTGGAGCATTACTCAGCCTTACAAAGAAGGACATTCTTACACATGCTACAGTATGATGAGTCTTGAGATCATTATACTCTATGAAATGAGCCAGTCACAAATGGAGGAGCTTTTACTCTTAAGTCAATTATATGTGAAAGTAGAGAAGTAGTAATTGGGAAACAAATAAGATCATAGTGCTTTATTATGTAGCTGTAGGGATTCCTTTTGTTTTATAGGCAGAAAGTACACACTTTGTACTTACATGAAGACCCAAGAATGGGCAAAACCATAGGAATAGAAAGTTGACTGGAGTTATGTTGGGAGGGAGACAGGTCATGTATTTGGAATAATAGATGTTTTAGAACCAGATGTATGAAATCATTGCCCAACAATAAGAACATAGTTAATGTTACTGAGCAGAATGCTTGGAAATGGCTACAACAACAAATTTGTTTTATATATTTTTCAACCATAAGTTTGAAATAAATTAATAATGAAATACACCAAAATCCATTCAATTATATTTTAAATGAGTAAACCGTAAGGTAGGTAAACTGTATCTTAATTTATATTTTAAAACAAAAACCCTTTCTAAACAATCCCAACAATGGTCCACTGTGATTTGTCCTCTTCCCACAACACCTTCTACAGGGCAGGAAACAACAGATACAAAACTCCCTCAAAGGAAAGCACAGGAGGGCAATTCGCTCAGCAGCAAAGTCAAGGGTGCCATATTCTGGTCTTCATTTTTTTACAAACTTGGGTATCTGGCAGCTCAAAATGGCACAAATGCTAAAACTAAGTAACAGTGCAACTCTGGGACCTGGTCAACATGGCCCTGACCGGGGATCTGTTTGCCTGGGACCTGAAATGCCAGGCATCCCACATACATATTATCAGGGCCAGGGGAGATCTCCAACCTCCCTGTCTCCCCCCATCTCTCTCTCACAAGCATTTCCCTAACAAAACTCTTGTACATTTAATCCTACATGGCATTTGCTACTTAAGAGAACCCATAGAGATGACACAACACTATCCAAACGTTCCTTTTTGGATGATGTCATGCAACACGGCAAAACAGGAGTTCTGTGCTGAAGTGCTAAGCTGGACAAAACTGATAGGATCAACTTTTGCAGAACTCTGGATACTAATCAAGCAGTTATGACAACCAGAGGAATGCTTAAGGAAAGAAATTACTGAGTTTCAGCACTCACAGATACTCTCACATCCTGTCTAATGCTGAGATATGGAACAGACTGCAGAAAACAAACACAAGACAATCACTGGGACAGTAGACACCACAGGCCTCAATATATCCTAAGAGCAAGGGCCTGTGGGGAGGAGGCTTTTTTCTGTAGGTGCCTACTAGAATATTCAAAATATTCTGTTTTCAACAAAAATAAAAAAATGGCAAGGCAGACAAAGGAACAGGAAAGTATAACCCAAACACGGGGGAAAGCATCTCTGAAGCAGCCCCGACACTGGACTTACCAAACACAGACTTTAAAATGCTTAAGGAAACCAAAGACACGAACAAGCTCAAAATATCAATAAAGAGACAAAAATTATAGCAACTAAACAGAAGTTCTGAAATTGAAAAGTCCAGAGCTGAAATGAAGGTTCTCTAGAGGGGTGTGATGATTGATACTGATTGCCAACTTGACAGAATCTACAATTACTTAGGAGACAAGACTCTGGGTGTGTCTATGAGGGAGTTTCTAGATTGAGTGAACTAAGAGAGGAAGTTATTTTAAATGTGGGACACAGCATTCCATGAGCAGGGGTCCCAGACTTTATAAAAGGGAAAGTGAGCTAAACACCAGCATTCACCTCTCTCTGCTTCCTGACGGCGAATGCAATGTAACCAGCAGCCTCACATTCCTGCTGGCATGCCTTCCCAGCAAAGATGGACTATCCTCTTAAAAGAAACACATGAGCCAAAATAAATCCTTCCTTCTTTTAACTACTTCCATCAGGCAGAATCTGGTCACAGTGATGAGAAACTAACACAGGGGCTCACGGTCAGATTTGCACAAGTAAAAGGCAGAGTCAGTAAACACAGAGACAAGAAACTGAAATCACCCAGTAGGAAGAGCAGAAAAAGAATAATAATAAAGGAAAAGGAACAGAACCTAAGAGACCTGAGGGACACAATGAAGCACAACTACATACCTAAAATTCAAATCCCAAAGCAAGAAGGGAGAATGGGGCAGGTGGGATATTTTTTTTTTTTTTTTTTTTTTTTTTTGGTTTTTCGAGACAGGGTTTCTCTGTGTAGCTTTGCGCCTGTCCTGGAACTCACTTGGTAGCCCAGGCTGGCCTCGAACTCACAGAGATCCGCCTGGCTCTGCCTCCCGAGTGCTGGGATTAAAGGCGTGCGCCACCACCGCCCAGTGGGGCAGGTGGAATATTTAAGGAAGTCAAGGCTGAGCACGCTGACATTTGAATGAAAGTTAGGAATCTACACACCCAATAAGCTCATACCACATAACTCACAGGCACAAATTCTCTATTGAGTAAAAACAGCAGAAACAGAAGATTTTAACATAGTGTCCAAAGAAATAGGAATGTTTAATTTCAAAACATAAAACTAGGGGGGGAAAAATAAACCACAAAATTAGGGACACAGGTATACACTCTATTAGAATAGTAACACTAATCAAATATAGCCACGAGAAAATACAGCCAAAACCCTAGATGAGCCTACTCAGGCTAATCATGATGCCTCATGGCATATTCACAGTGAACAAGGTTCAAAGAGCAACTCCCCCCAAAAAACAAGAGGACCAAAACCAGGACCAATAAAGTATCTGGGCCACCTGAAATAAAGGTCCTTTGATAATGGCCTAAGTCCTTATCCACCAAAGCAAAGATTAAAAAAAAAAGTTAGTCACAATGTGTGGGGGAATACGTGTGTGAGTGCTCACTTGTGTGTGCATGAAGATAACTTGGCAGAGCTCTTTAAAGAGATGAAAAGATTCTCCTTCCTGAGACTTTGTCCAGGTCTGCCTCTGAGGCTGTGGTAAAGCCCATCTGACCTCCCCAAAGTCACTTCCTCCCTGACTTCAGCATGCACTCAGAAAGCTTCCCATGTCCACTGGAACAAAAACAAATGTACCAACAAGTTCATCTACACCTTGTCCTTCTAGACCGTGTTTATCCAGGTACCTTACCTCAAACATGTGCCTCTCCTTTTCCTTCTTTTCTTAAGACAGGGTCTCTTATACAGCCCAGGCTGACCTCAAACTCACTGTACCAAGAACAGCCTTGCCTCCAATTTCCAAATGTTGGGATTGTAGTGCTTTTGCTTTCTGTCAATTCAGAAAGCTATATAGTATACAACGGCTATGAGAAGCAAGTACTGACTTTAAGCAAACAAGATCACTCTCAGAGGAATGGTGTGAGGTCTAAAACAAAAACATAAAAAGCATCGTTCAGAAGCTCAGTGTTAGTGTTACCATCTTCACACAGGTTCCGCAGCCCGTCACTCTTGCCTGACATGATGCTTCCCCATCAGGAGACAGTACCGTGTGCCCCTGGCACCAAAAGAAGCTTCAGGGAGGTTCAGTTCACATGGAGGCACTGCAGGGCAGGAGGACAGCTCCCCACAGAAAGATCATGGGCTAATTTATTCCACATCATGTTTTAAACAACAGCCTGACATTTCTCACTTGTAACACCAATAATATTCTTATCCTTACTCCAGCTGGTAGGATCGATGCTGTCTGATGTCCTGAAATATGGCACAACACACATACAAGCTAGTTCCACTGAAGAAACCAAAGAGAAACTGCTGTGGGATGGCCTGTATGTCAAATGTGTTGCTGATTGGTCAATAAATAAATCACTGATTGGCCCGTGGCCAGGCAGGAAGTATAGGCGGGACAAGGAGGAGAATAGAGCTGGGAAGTGGAAGGCTGAGTCAGAGAGACACTGCCAGCCGCCATCAGGACAAGGAAGATGTAAAGTACCGGTAAGCCACAAGCCACATGGCAAGGTATAGATTAATAGAAATGGATTAATTTAAGCTGTAAGAACAGTTAGCAAGAAGCCTGCCACGGCCATACAGTTTGTAACCAATATAAGTGTCTGTGTTTATTTGGTTGGGTCTGACGACTGTGGGACTGGCAGGTGAGAGAGTTTGTCCTGACTGTGGGCCAGGCAGGAAAACTCCATCTACAAGAAACAGCACTGGTTCAGGTTCTACAGCACAGCCAGTTGTAGAACCTCATTAACTGGGTTTCCAGAGCTGAGCTATCTGCACAGACCTGCTGGCCTCGTGAAATGGGATAAACCAACACATGGGTTGAGGAAACCCTCCCACCACTCCCAAAGTCTGTGTTCAGTCTTTTCTTACAAAACAGTGTGACTTTGCCACACCACAATTCCTGACAAAAGAGGCAGTCCTAGCTATAAAAACAGCCACCATCTAGCAATACTTTGGAGCAGTTTCAGACTTCTTCCTCGGTCATCAGGGATGCACAACCAAGCCATGATGAAATGACTGGAATTCCACAACAACTGTAATAGTAATTATTTTTTTAAAAGAGGAAAGGCAAAAATAAATAATGAGGATGTGAGGAAAATGGGGCCCACATACAGGGCTGGTGGGAAAGTACAGCAATGCAGCCAGCCATGTTAGAAGAGTCTGACTTGTTTCTTGGACTAACCATCATTTCCACTCCCAGGTCCATATCCAAGACAAATGATAACACATGTCTACACAGAAACTCATAAACAAATGTTCATTGCAGCATTACTCAAAGTCAAAAGGTGGAGGCAACCAAAATGGTTACTTAAACTTGTAAGACTAAGCAAAAAGTAGTACTTCCACACAGTGGAATCCCCATCAGCAGTACAAAGGAATGAAGCACTACCACCACACAGTGACCATCAGAAAATTACATAAAGTTCAGACACAAAAGAACAAACATCAAAGTCTGTTTACATGAAATGTCTGAAAAGGGTAAAACAGAACAGCAGAGAGGACCAGAGCTTGCCTAGGGCTGGGTAGTAAGGTGGGAGTGGCTACTCAATGCAGGATTTCAGCCTAAGGCAATGAAAATGTTCTGAAGTTAAATTACATGATGTTGCACAACTCCAAATATGTCAGAGACCACTATAAACTGTAAATGGGTAGACGATACAGTATGCAAATTATTGCAATGAAACTGCATTTTTAAAAGCACAAGGGCTAAATAGAATGCAGCTCTAGAAGACCTCCCTTGTGTCCCAGTGCTGACACTATAGTTTGGCATTAGTGACACACATCCCACATGATTCCGGTGTCTTACTCTAGACCACCGGTTCTCAACGTGTGGTTGCAAACCCCTTGGGGGTCAAATGATCCTTTCACAGGGATAGCATACCAGATATTCTGCATATCACATATTTAAATTACAATTCATAACAGTTGCAAAATTATAGCTATGAAGAAGTAATGAAATAATGGTTGGGGGTCGCCACAATACGAAGAACTGCATAAAGGGCTGTAGCATTAGGAAGGTTGAGAACCACTGCTCTAGACAAAAGTCATACCCTGCACAATCTCTGTAGCACACTTTTAGGAAGGATCGTCTCTGTCCTTTGTACTCCTTCCCCTTCCACTCACAAGGCACCTCTAGAGAGTGGCACATGGCCACAGCCTTATTCTCTTACTCCACCTTACTAGGACCCAACAAACAGCCTGGGCTCATGGTCTTTCTGCACATGCACTGCACTGTGCCCCCATCCTGAAGCTCTGCTCCACTGCTGCCACAAGCTGTGTCCTGGATGGATGACATCAGGACACTGTCACTGCAGGTAACATAATACACTGTGAAGGCACCAAGTGTTCCATCTGCAGGTGCTCTCAATGGGTGATAGTACCCCTCAAGAGTGAAAAGCAGTTCTAAAGACAAGAAAACCAAGTATTACCAGGGTCCACGACTCTCCAAATCTAGCACACAGAGTATATGCAACATGCAGCTACAAAAGGCTAAAGAGGTAATTAGTAAATTATAAAGGCTAGCATGAGAAAGAAGCCTGAGAAATATTCATATACCATGCCCTTCCCCAGAAGCACTGGTGTCCATAGCTAGCCACAATGAGGAACCCCACCAAGTTTCATCAGCCCTGAGGATGCAGATCCATGCACTTCAGTTACTTACCCTCTGAGAGTCTCGACGGCAGCAACAGGCCTCGTCTACCCAGTTCTGCCAATGCCAGACATCCACCATGCCATGCCTTATCCGTCTCCTGAAAACTAAGACAGAGTTCTAATGTCAACTCCATATTTAAAGCCCACAGTTTTGCAAGAAACACAAACTGATCCATATTCTGGGCCCATGAGCCTTGCTAAAACCATTACTTCTTGGCTAAACAAACAAGACACTCAAACCTAATATGAAGATAACTGCCACATCAATACTACTCTTTACATCACCCATAATAATGAAAGGACTTAGGTCAGATCATGACCAGTCCCGAGAAATTCTGCCATCTTCAACATCAAACCGGCCCACTCTGATCAGACAGTGGAGTCAACAGAGATTCTACCCAATTCAGAGGACACTAGTAAAAAGGAACAGGGGGACATCTTTACATGGCACCCACTGTTACCTGAATGATCACATTCAAGATTTAAAAAGTGATTAAATAAGATGGCTACTGTTGTCACATGCCTCTAATCCTAGTACCTGGGAAGTGGAGGCAGGAAGGTCAGAAGTGTAAGGCCATCTCAACTTCGTAAATTCAAGGCTAGACTACAGAGATATATGAGAGCCCATCTCAAAAAAAAAAAAAAAAAAAAAAAAGGACAGAAGGGAGGGAAAGGAAGAGGGGGGGCAAGCATTTAAAGACTTTTTCCAAGAGCTGGGTGGTGGTGGCACACACCTTTAATCCCAGTACTCGGGAGGCAGAGCCAGGCAGATCTCTGTTCGAGGCCAGCCTGGTCTACAGAGCGAGATCCAGGACAGGCACCAAAACCACAGGAGAAACCCTGTCTTGAAAAACAAAACAAAACAACAAAAAAAGACTTTTTCAAGGGTGTGGAGGTGTCAAGTCCAACTATGTTCCCAGGCTGATTGTAAAGCCTCCCAAGCAGCTGGGACTACAAGAACCCAATTTTGCACCCAACTGAAATAGGGTCTCACAAGCAACAT